TCAATGGTAACAATCCTTTGCTTAAAAAAGTAACAATACTTGGAAGGTGAAAGTGTCTAGAAATGAATTATGGCTTATGAGTTTGATGTAATTGTTATAAAATTAACATTTTAGAAAATTATAAGAAAAAAGTAACCACATGCATGATTAAGGAACAAATTAAAATGATTCTAATTTTTTTCCAAGCTAAATTTTTATTATTGTTAAGTAATACTTCAGAAGATATTTAACACTCTTCTTTTGTATATATCATTACGTCTATTCTTTTATCTTTGAAGGCACCTATTCCATTTAAGAATTTATATATATTCGTATCTTAGTCGTAGAACGATGATTGCAAAAACATTTCTTCAAAATTTTACATTGAAAATAAATCTTAAGCCAACAAATTAATGATGAAACTTTTGTAAGTCACAAACTAAAAATCAAATCAAATTTATATATGTAAATTTAATGATGAAACTTTTGTAAGTCACAAACTAAAAAGCAAATTTATATATGTAAATAATGTTTAATAGAGTATGATTCCATCTTTTTAATGCAGAAGACATATAGTAACAAAGATGCTCAAATCCCAAAATTCCAATTTCATCTCTATTTGATCATAGGTCTTCATAAGTCGTTCAATTCAATTTTGAGCCAAATAACCTTGGCTATATATGTATGTAATGTTTTAGTCTCTATGTGAGAGAGAGAGAGAGAGAGAGAGAGAGAGAGAGAGAGAGAGAGAGAGAGAGAGAGAGAGAGAGAGAGAGAGAGAGAGAGAGAGAGAGAGAGAGAGAGAGAGAGAGAGAGAGAGAGAGAGAGAGAGAGAGAGAGAGTACACCCCTTCTATTATATGAAGAAAAATAAAGGCTATTGTGTCCTATTTTTAAATAAGTTGTCTTATTTTCTCAATATATTTTCATATTTTCTTATGTGTAGAAAAATGGTTAAATTAATTTTAAAATATTTTGATCTATTGTTAAATCATAGTTACCTTTATTTAAATTAGAATATAAAACTTTTATATATATATATATATATATTATTCATTATTATTTTTTTGAATGACATGACCAAAGGTTATTATACGAGCCTCCAACCATTGCTAATGTGCCTAACAATTTGAGTATCACTTCTTTAAGGCCAACATGCTATAGGGGATTCGAACCCCCGACCCGATGAGTTATATACCGTGGATGCCAACCAACAGGCCGGGATACATGGCACGATATATATATATATATATATATAGATTCGTAAAATTTATAATTTCTATACATAACTCATAAAAAAATAATAAATATTTTTCTATTTTTCTTTATCTTAACTTTAGTTTAAGTATTTAAATGCATATCATTTTATTTTAAATATTTAAAACAGCTTATTTTATATTATACTAAAAATTATAATACAACTTATAATTAAACTAGGTATAACAAATTATCAAAACAATAAAAAATACTAATTTCAAAAAAATAAAAAAAAACAAATATTTACATTTTAATATAACAAAATATTTAAATTAGTTTAAATTCTGTAGTCTATTAGGATTAAATGATATGGCGAAAAAGAAATTATGTTGCTGACTCTACTGTTGTTGTTGATATATATTTAATTTAACATTAAATTCAAAATGACGTAAGCTCTAACTATTTTTTTTAATTTTTAATGTAAGATTTTCTGTATTTTTCGTTAAAATCTTATTTTTATTCCAAACGAACGAGCGTTCGATTTGAATACTGAAAATTTTTATTTTATTTTTAATTAATTTATTACATTAACTTAATATAAAATTAAAAAAAAAAGTTATGTTCCGTGTCATTGATGAAATCCCATATCCCCTTAAACATGAAAACTTATTGCATACATACACCACATACAGAGATACATGCAGTGTCTGATCCTGACTGTAGATCACCTAATATCTACTGTCAGATTTTTATTCCAAACGAACGAGCGTTCGATTTGAATACTGAAAATTTTTATTTTATTTTTAATTAATTTATTACATTAACTTAATATAAAATTAAAAAAAAAAGTTATGTTCCGTGTCATTGATGAAATCCCATATCCCCTTAAACATGAAAACTTATTGCATACATACACCACATACAGAGATACATGCAGTGTCTGATCCTGACTGTAGATCATCTAATATCTACTGTCAGGATATATTTCGGTGGGTCCCACTTTAAATTTTTTTTTAAAATTTTGATTACATCTTGACCGTAAATCACTATAATCTACGTCAGAATCGAACACCGCATGCACCACTATATACAATAATTTTTCTTAAATCGTACAGCCGCTAAACCTAATCATACCCTTCTCGCTTCTCGCGATTCATCCGTAGTTTCTCGCTTCGTCGCGACTCGACCGCAGCATACCTCTCCTCAGAGTCGGCCGCCGCTTACCTTCTTCCTTCAACACCAGCCTCCGAATCAAGGTAAACGAACTTGCGCCATCTTCCGGCCATTCTTCTTCTTTCTCCACTCGTTTGTTCCACTCCTCTCCATCGCCTCTTCTTCCTGCAGCTGACGCCACCTGCACCAGCGCACCACTTTTCCCTACCGACCCTCAGCCTCCGAGCCCCCAAAATCACTACCTGACGTCTCTTTTGCTTGGCCATTTCCTCATCTTCACCTCCTATCTTCCCATGCAAACTTCATCCGCTTTTTTGTCTACTTTTTTTTTTAAATACTATTATTTATTTATGATTTTCAGCAGTTGTTTAATTCTTAACTATACAGTTTTTAATTTTCTTTTGAGATGATTGCAATACAATTAGAATAAATCAAAATTTGTAGTGCACTGAGCTCAAAATAGATACAATGATTTTGAGACTCATTCGGATAAGAAATTTTGTCGATATATCCCAAGCTAATTTTTATCCATTTGTTCGTTATATTTATAGGTATAATTATTTATTAGATATACACGAGCAACAAAGGCTTAGCTCATTATTGTTTGACTTGTTTAGTCCTTTACATGTTTTTTTTTTATTTGATCTCATGTATCTAGCTTTTCTAAATTAGCAGTTGTTTGGCTACATGTAGAAGTAAATATATCCTATAAATTTAGATTTAGTTTATAATAGAAGTTAAATCTTGGAAATTATTGGTAGGGTGGATGTTAAAGATGGCCAAATCTTGATAAATTGTTTGATATTTTTTCAAAATTTAAAATTTAGACGAATATGATATTTAATAACAAAATTACTAAGATGTTGGGCTTAATGTTTTTCGGTTTTTGTTTATTGTCGTTCATTAGAGCCAAGGGGATTTTTCATTTCCATTCCTTGAATAATCCACAGATCCAAGAAGGATTGTCATTTGCATTCATCCCTTGCACCCCTATCGGAAGCGAGTGTGTGTGTGTATTTAAAAAGGAAATTGATATTTGGCAGAGGCCCAAATATCGATTTCCCATGTGCATCAAAGCCCCATGATGAGAGCCCGTGCCATGTGACTAAAATTAGACCCCCCACGCACTACGATAGGGATCCAAGTATTCGACCTGAGGGGACTTACAGTGAACCCCACCAACCAACAGGCCACGACTTACGTCACAGTGTATACACACACACACACATATTTGTAGCTATACATACATATACATACATATATATACATATACATACATACATATATATATATATATATATAGCTATACATACATACAAATAAAGATACATGACTCGCACCTATTGTCCCTTAACCCACCGTGCCTATTCATAAAAGAACTTACTTTAACTACTAACCCATATAGCCCCTTATGATTTGCTATCAATTATCTATCATTATGCAACCTTTGAAAATTGACCTTGCCTCTAAAGTTAAGCCAAAAAATAAAAAAAACCTTCCCCAAGCCCGTCAACATAATTTCTTGTAATAAAACTATATATGATCTTTATGTTATGGAATCTCAACATAAATGTTTGTGAAACTACAGAAATCGGGTTGTTGAATCTTGAATTGCCTGCTTGTGAATTACAACATAATCTTTTTAAGTGGAGAGAAAGAGAGGAAGAAAGAAGGGAGGAATCATTGGGAAATTCCAATATATAAAGCTTTGAGTACAATAATTTCGGGCTCAATCATGCAAGGTGCATTACCTTGGGTTCTTCCAGCGACCTCTTATTATAGGTTCAGATTATGGTCATAGCGCTATAGGAAAAATATATATAATGAGGCATGTGCACAAAAAAGTTTTTAAAATGAGACCATTGCTTACTCGCTATAATATGTAAGAAGTGTGTAGTCTGATTAAAAAACATTAGTCTTTCAAAAAGTTCGGCTAGAGAATTTTTATCAAACCCAATTGCCAAGCCTACCTTAAACTCAGCTAGCAAATTCATTTTGAGCTCAGCTGAAGAGTTCGCCTTTGGAATATTTGGGTGTGTATGACCGAACGATCATCTAACCACATTTTCTTTTGAGAATTTGTTGGTGGCAATGTGGGCAGTGACTAATTCTCCACCTAGTCCTTTGTGTCATGAAATTGCCCTTTCATGGCTGAAGTTAACTTGGCTATGCTCGGCTTGTCGTTTTTACGAATTATAGGTGAGACAAAAATGTTTTTGTTGAACGAAGATTGATGTTTTGATTGCAAGCTGCACCTTTAGAGTAGTACAGGATGTGTTGATGTTTGTTTTAATCACACAAGGAGCTTTAGTAAGTTGTTAAGGTTTTGAATGCATCACAAAGTAGCTTTCATTTCATTTGTGGATAAGCTAAAGATCTATGTCACAATACATGGATCTTAATATTATGGTGGAGTTGTGGGGTCTTTTAGTTGACAAATAAGGACATTGAGTTTGAGTGTTGCTCCAATTTTATTGAGTCTATTTATTCGTCGATTGATGTCGCATGTATTCTCTCAAAACTCTTCAAACCCTTTTGCAACGTTATTAAAGCAGTTTGATATTTTAGTTATTGTGCTTGTGCCCATCTTCGTTGTTCTTAAAGGGCATTTCATCAAATAAGTTGGCAACATCTTATATTTGATTGCATAAGAGTTATATTGTGACAAGGAACTTTTATCAATGGAGAACATATCTTGAATTTGGAAATGACCTCACTAGTTTGTGCAAGTGGATGCAAGATCTTGTAAAGTTGGAAGATCTGTAAAGGCCGATAGAGTTGGTGAATGGCAAAGATGGATTTGGGTGTCAAGCATGAGATGACGGTCCAATTTGATCTAGAATCAAAAGGAGAATTTGGGTGGGAGGGTGGTGGGCCAAAGCTCATTGCTTTTTACATTTTCACTTGCCTTAATACTCCACAAAAGGAATGTTTATGGACTCTTAAGGACTCTTATAAACCATTAAAATGCATAATAACAATTGTCAAGTTTAACTATATAATAGATATTATTTTACCCATTACATTGATTTCTTAACGATACCCCTTCAAAATGGTATTATCCTTAAGTTCGATTAGATTGTGGTGAGATCAAGCAGTGACTACAATTGTTGCTCTTATGATCATGGGTGATATTAGGGATAATGATTTTGATAGGAGAGGAAGGTTCGGAGGTGATATTTGTTGAGACATCAATTTTAGGCTTGAAAACGAGGCTTGCACTACTGTTCAACTTAAAGATGAGGCGGTGATAGTAGGAGGCTTGGGTTGGATATTGTCGATGTTAAGGTGACAAGTGATGTGGATGTCAGAGATGGAGCTAGTTCTACTGCGATTGAGAAATAAAGAAGGATGTCAAGGCTGTGAGGCGGGAAATCGATCTAGATTTGGTGCAAAAGATGTTGTGGCGGTGATGGGTCTCATGTTGACGAGTCGAACTCGTGCAACAATGATGGAAAGGTGGCTTATTTGGACAACGAAGGCAGAGGTGGCGCTTGGCGGGAGGTACGACAAGTGCATCCTTATATACAAAAATCCAAACATGTGAATGCTGAAAATGCATAATAAAAACAATTTTTTTGATAACTCGACAACCTAATTTTTTTCATAGAACTCCGGTATTGGTGAGGAAGAAAGAATACGCAATTAGGAAGATGCCCACAACTTCATAAGCTCAATGTGCACTACATTTATTAGGTGTTAGATATAGTATTATTATCATAGTGTTTGACGAGTATTGTTAGAGAATTTATTAACCTTACATTCTCAAAGCACAATATAGTATTTGATAAGGTACTTGCCCCATTTTAAAGACATGTTGAGAATATAAAGCTTCTAAACTGTGGTTGACATGGAACTTGGAGTTGTCTTGAAGTAATTTTGATTATGCAATTAAAGATATTATGACTTAAGTTAAAGTGATCCTGGTGCAATTATTGTTGACAAATACACATCTAATCTTGGCTTTAAGAAATCTTGCCTTGATAATCGTGAGTCTGAGAGAAAAAAATATGTATCCCATTTATAGATGCATTTGGTAATTGTTTCACAACTTTTTGGTTAATGTAATAAGAAAAATATAGTTATTTGAAAAACTTGTAATAAGAACTTCTCCTATTTCCTATATCATTTTCTTTTCCAGAGATTTTAAATCATTAAGAAGTAATGTTTATGATGGTGTTGGATTTGGAATTAAACTACTTTTTTGACATTGTTAGATCTACTTTAAAAAATTCGAAGGAAAAAGTCTGAGTATTTTGATTATTTTTTGATAATTTTGTTATTTTTAATAAATGAAAGTATTGATTTGAATAAATAATAATATTGATATAAATAAATAACAACAAAAAGATTACACTTCTGGTTAAATGCCATAGAATTCATATTATACTATTTTTTAAATAAGACTAAAGATAAAATTATATCGATATCTTTATATATACTTTTTGTGATGCTTATAATCATTGAACAAAGGAGTATACAATCTTTTGGTTAAGGCTCTTTTAAATCCAATTAATCAAACAAGTTCAAACATAATTTTAAAAAATCAACCAATAAATGAATAAATTTGAGTACCATATCCTATAACTAAATTATATGCACAACCATTCTCAATTGCTGCTTAATAAACAATCCAATAAATGCACAACCAATTCAAAATTTATTTAGTAGCTTATTTAATATTGCTCATTTCTTCTTATTTTATAAATTTTGTATTGTCCATTTTAAACATATCATATTAATAGAAGTTAAGGGTGTGAATAAATTAAGTTGAGCTCCAGTCATGCTAAACTTGAGCTTGGCTTTTGAGATTGAGATCAACTCTTTGAATTTGAGTTGTCTCGTATTTTATAAAAGAGAGAAGATGCTTTTGATTTGAATAGTTTTTATTTAAAATGATAAAAAGAATGAGAATTCAGGGGATAAATAATAACAAATAATTGAATAAGGAATAGCTTTAATGTTTAAAATTTTTTAAAATATTTGAATTCTAATATATTTTAAGTTTATGTTACACTAAAATTTTTTAAAGAAACAAACTAATGATTTTAGGGTTGGCTAAAGTTTGGCTAGTTAGCTCATT